TTTAAAATATTTGTGAAGTATGGGGATTTATCACTGCTTTATTTTTAGTGATGCACCCCTACGATCTTTGCTTTTGACTGCAGACGAGCATTAGTTCAAGCGCAAAGAAAAGAGTAAAATCAACTCTGTTCAAGCCTCAATAACATGCAAGCCGACATTACTGGAGTAAAGTCATTGTTTTTTTCCTTTTTCACTTCTTTTCAATTATTTGTGGGCTAAGCCAATTACATTTTTAATTATTCACACAAAACAAACTCACTCTTTTAAAAAGCAATAGTTCCCAACTGAGCCTGCTCGAACCCATTTTTCAAATGGTTTTCCTTTACTTTTGGCCACTAAGGTCGATTTTTTTTACTGGTAATGTACCAACTCTGCCCTCAGATTCAAGCCCACAAACCCAGAATGTTGATCCTAATCTACATTTCCACACTCCCTCCATTTTTTCGGCTAAACAATTTTATATTCCAGAAGAAACTGCAGGGCACTTTTATGCTAATAAGCCCTGCAGAAACTATCATTTGAATCAGCGCACTGCACCACCCTTATCACCTGATTCGAATAGTCTGGCTTCCAGACCCAATGAAACCGACTATTCTATTTCGATTCAAATGTGCTGTAAGCGATTTATTTCAATAAACACGCTGAGATACGGATACGTGGGTCATATGCATTTTTTTCGACTACAACTCGAAGTATCTCCTGCCGCCGCAACTTAGTATCTCCAACATCAAAGCTACTTTGAGTCTTCCGCAAGATACGGTATCAGAACAGCGCAGAGATGTTAAAGCAGAGAATCAAGTCAAGATGAAAGGCTATTCGAGGTTCCTAAAGAGCACCACGTTTGATTTTTTATGACAGTATATCCTGAAATCCTAGCAGACATGGCTCATTTGAATATATTTAAATATTGTGTCTACACTCAAAGCTAGTGCGGTTGACATCGTTCTGTTTTTCAACGTCTGGATACCTTCTATGAGAGGTGACTTATAGAATTTAAGAGAGTGTTACAATTTCGAACTTTTACAGCCCCATTATCAAACATTTGCACGTAAAAAAAATAAGTGTTATGTAGTGTAGCTGGAGACTATTGCTTCACGAGAATCTGAGAGTGACCCGCGTGGGACTGCCTAGAACTGTTTGGTGTATTGCAGACATATCTGATATTCTGGTATATGCAGTTCACTTTTCCAGAAGCTTAAGTTTCTAGAAACTTAAATTAAAGTACAGTAATTTCTGTGAAAAGGGGTTACTGCAGGATTAGACTTTCACGGGACTTTGAAGCGTGATTTGTGCGTCGAGACTGCTTCTGATGTGGAGCCACAGTCGACAAAGTACGTCTTCAACAAGAAAGTGCTAAAGAGCTGAATTTAAGTCTGTAAAGGAATTTTGTGAAGTGGATCTGTAGCTGGTTAGCTAGGGGTTGCCAAGTTGCCAATTCTTTCGAACGCCATTTTATCTATTTTGGTAGAATAACATTGCGCAGCGTCTCTTTTCATATCAACGTAAGAAACGCAGAGAGCAACGCAATCAAGATGCAAACTGCAAGGTAAACATAACTATGGAAACATGCCAAGCGGAGGTGTTGCCGACAACGCGGACAGCCTACGAACGATCCGAAAAATTGATCCAGGTTCAACTTTGCCGACTGTCCCTCTCGCTTAGTTCCACGAATTTTGCCCATTTTTTCCTTTAATGCACGAAACTGGAGAACAGGTTTGGAATCATGAGGCAGTACAGTCGATCTGACATGGTAGATATATTTTCCGCAAACATCACAGGG